CAAACTTTGCGCAAAAAAAAAAAAAAAAAAAAAAACAACGTATAAAATATATTGTACACCTGAATTTTATTGCTTGATAAAAAAAAAGGTACAAACAGTGGTGCATATATGCGACCGAGCAGGGGATATATATATACATTATACAAGTTGCACTTGTACCGTGCGCTGTATACCTATCTTCTCGCGAGTACTTATACCTTGTTCGTGACGAAATGATGTGTGCCTTTTGTACGCGCGTACATACGCCACATCGGTTGATGAACCTCGAGATCTCTCGGGTTGCCCCGAACCGAATAAGTACATATTGGACCTGACTTCCGGGGAAAAGAGATGGAGCCCAAGAGGGGGGGGGAGGGATCGAGTGGAAAAAAAAAGACGAGTACACGAATGATGTACATCCGATGTAAGGGAAATGACGAAGGTTTTCGAGGGGACGTAATTATGCGGAAACGTCCTGAAAACGTCCCTCTGCTGAGTTATGGGCGCTCCCTCGAGAGGCCGATGCATCCTTGGGACTCTCTGGTTCATTGAATTTTGGCATCGATTGGCAGAAGGGAAATGAAGGGGTGGGGTGGGGTGGGGAGAAAAAACCCGAGACGACTGGGACAAACACGCGTGTGTGTATACATAAAAGTAGATTGGCGCCAACGGCATCAAGCCCCCACGCCGTACGTCACTTGGCGCGCCTAATCACCGGATAATTAACGACAACCGAGAGAGGAAGACGCTGTGTTTTTTTTTTTCCCCTCGCGTCATCCCTTTTCGTTTAACCCGCTATTTATAGATATCGTGCCGCGTGTGACGCGGAGAAGCCGCCATTTATATATTTTCCGTTTCAGCAAAGGGAGCCATACATAATATAATTATACCATCGTTACTTTTCGTGAGGATTGATTACGCGTAATACGAGAGGTACGAGACTTAGTTCCTCGTAAATTATATATACATACAATAAGAGGACTTCATTGCAGCTCACGACAATAACATCGTACTTTGTTTATACACGCGGATAATTAAGTTAAATTTGACATTTTTGTTACGCTATATATATATACTACTGTCATATTACACGCTTATTATTTTTATTATATATCAAAATGATCGAGATGGACGAAAAACAACCTTATCCCATGGATTATTACTCAAATACGAGTTTAGGTCCATGGACTCCGAATTTCAAGCCGAGTGACTTGGCTAAGCCTAACGAATCCTGCTGTGGTAAATGCAAGGACGAAACAAATACCGACAAACCGTGCAAATGATCCAATCGGTCGATTTATTATAGGCTTATCTCAATCAAAATAAGATATTCGATGACGGTATGAAACTTGTAAATACGAAAGTTTAAAAAAATAAAATAAATTTCTATGGTTGTAAAAATGATTAAATTATTATCCGCTTTCTAAATATAGTAAAATTTTTTCGGGTACTCGAGTATTTCGATCACGTAAGCTTCTCGAAGTTGATTAGAGGCACGCAAGCTTCGATCTCAAGAGCTCTACCCTTTATTGGATTACTTCCCATTACCCGAACGTGCATTTGAATAAAAGGCATCTGCGCGCGCTCGCAATTGAATTTAAGCGCACGGAATCGATGCTTTAATGAAAAAAATTAATCAAAACGCTCGCAAGCGCGAAAAAAAAGATACTTTTTTTCGCAAATTGAATTTGTTCTACAATCTTATCGCATTTTCGTACACAGTTACGAAAAAAAAAAAAAAAAAAAAAAAAAACTCGTCTGCGCCAGTACAAAACAAGCATAGCCAGGGAGCTTCTTCGAGTCTGCAAAGACGAAACGGTGCATTAATTAAAGAGACGCGCGCCCGGGCTCTTATAGGTATATATAAATATACACACGATGTATCGAAGAACCCCCAGAGGCGGGCTCGTGTGTATATATACCGCTCTGCGGCACTTCCAATTAGCACGCCCGCGTATACGTATGTGCACCCTCACACAAACTCGGAGTTACCTGCATGCACGCGTGTCGGCGTGTGTATACATTTGTACTCGTACGTATCGACATTTCGATCGAAACGCCACATCCAAATGATGCACTTCGACGGGGGGGGGTGGGTGAGAGAGAGAGTCAAGAGGCTTAACGCCCGATTGCTACTGTATACATGTGTACTTACTCGTTACTGTCGCCGCCGAGTGCGGGATGTTGACAAAAGAGGCACGGGGAAGACGACAACTCGTCACTCGACGAGACAGAGAGAGATTTCGTCTGCAATCGAGTGCGTCGGGGAAGGGGGGGGTGAGGAGTTATTGGTTTCTACTTCTATGGTGGTTGATCAAGGGGATGTTTTTTTGGTTTCGTCCGGCGGGGTTGAAAGTAAAGAAAAGTCGAGAGGTCACGCTGGAGAGAGGCGCCACTGGATAATGATTACTATCGGCAAACGGCACGAGACCGTCGCTGGTTCAATTATGTACGTGGTTTACTTGTACGAGTCCACTGAATTTTTCCTCCACCCGTCGCGGGTTCATGAATTATTTTAGCGTCGACCACGCTGTGCTCGGGTATTGATTAATTCAATTATCGACGCTCGATTACGCACTTTTTTTTTTTTTGTTTCCTAGAGCGCACACGGTGTGTAATTTAATGAACCCGCTCGACGAGCAATTTTTTCACGCTCCATTTGAACATTTCGCAGCTGCCGCATATCGGCACCAGCGGGGGGAGGAGACTATACTTCCCCAGACGCGTCCCTGCATTATATACCCGAATCGCGTCTCGATTTTTCATCCGTCTAATCAACCCATTTTCGCAGTCAATGTAATTCGCAAGGGGTGTTAATTATCATGATTCTTCCCTGGGGTGTTGCGTACATCCCGTCCTTTTTTCGTAGTGCTGCTCGCGAACGTCAATCAGCCGAGGAGATCCGAGTGGAAAGCGCTACTGTGGGAGGTGTGGGAAAAGAGAGGGACGAAACGAGACAAAAGAGTGGAAAGACTCGGAGCACCGCACTGTATATATATTTATATGCGGTGACGATGGAAACAGCTGCACTCAGCCGGATTGTTGGTCCTTTTTTTTTTTTTTTTTTTC